TTGAAGTTTGCTGAGGATAATTGTCCTGAGCTCGAAAACCCTCCATAACAGAACATCTGTTCGGGTATTCCGTGCGGCGTATGGGCATTAGGATATGGCAGCGCATGGGTTTACAGCACAGCTTGGTCTTTTTGTTATTATATAACCTTGGATTCGGCCACGACTATCGTGGCCACGAATTATGAAGAAAAGTGAAGAAAAAGCGGCTGCAGCGCTCTCGACATGCATGTGTACCGGAAGTACCGTGGCCGGCGTCAGCCACTAACAGTTTTGCTGGAAAGCTTGGTGGTGTCACGTTAGCGTCCCTGCAACGACTCCCTCCGTTGGACTCCCCGCTATTATTCACCAAGTCAAATAAATGATTTGGCAAATAGGGAGGCAGCATCTGCTGCGTCATTGTGCCCCACTTTGGACACATCGGGCAACGACCTCGAAACTTTTGAATCTCCAACTTTTTGTGTCGCTAGACACAACACCAAAAATGTCGCGATCTAGCACCCCGCACCCCACCACAATCTCAATTCCCCAGATCGAAGATGAAGGAGAAGCCTATCTCGTCCAGTCTTTCCTCGACCACGCGACCAAATCTGGCCGTCTCGTCCCCGCAAACTCAAACCGTGACGCCGAGGAACCACTGGTCGACCTGACACAAGCTCTACCCCTCCGCTCCAAGCGCACCGAGCGCCTTCGAAAGAAGCTCGAAAAGAAGAGCAAAACGCTACCACCCCGCGCTTTGAATCTTCTCGACCTTCCTCAGGAGATTTTTACCCACATCCTCACATTCCTGCGGCCAAGCGACATTATTGCGTTCCGCAACGTGAGCAAGGATGTCCGGAACTTTGTCCTCGCCGAGGAGACATACATCGCCAACGCCATTATCAAGCTGCGTTATCCCGTGCTGGCCAAATGTCTACCCCCACCAGTTTCCCTCTCCGAGGTCGACCCATCCGCCCACGAAGCCCTCCTCAACCCTGAACGGAGCGAGGTGCAGACTCTCTTCATCAAACCTTTCCAGCACGTGCCCGCCCCCGATGCCGAAATAGTCTGCTCCTGCCTCGCCTGCATCCAGCGCTGGCTCGCCCTCTGCGTCGTCGTCGACTTTGCCCACTGGCAGGACCATCTCGACAAGAGCGACCCCATCCCTGTGATCCCGCGCGGCACCCGCCCGTCCTGGAACGAGCTACTGCTCTTTCAGCATAGCGTCACCGTGCTCTGCACTATGAGAAAACAGCTCTGGTATGCGCGTCTTCTCGAGAAGCATCTCGATTCGACCGTGCGTTCCATCCGGCGGCATAGCGCAAACAAGGGCAACCGGCGGCGCCGGTTCCGAATGACGGAAGAGGACGCCGCGGCGGGGACGGACGCGTTTCTGGAGAGGAGCGGCCCGCCGACGGTGGATTTGCCGTTTCATCGCGACAATTATTACATGCTTGAGGCCTTCCTGCCAAATCGGAGCTGGATTGCGGATAGGCAGGCGTGGGTGTATGTCCCGCTCGAGCAGCATGACAATGACGTGCGCATGTTAGTGCAGTGGCATCCGTACCGGCAGAAGAAATCACAGGAGAAAGAACCCACAGTATGACTGAAATTAGATATTTACGTTTATAAGGTTTTATCAACACCACATTACACCCCCTTTTCTGGCAGTGATCACTTATTTGACCCTGCACAGCCGCGTGCCATCCTCGACAACCTCCCACTTCTCCGTACCCGGCGTGGCGATGGCATAAAACACGCCATGGGGATCCCACTTGCCCCTCGCGGTCTTGAGGGTAGGATACACGCTGCCCCAAAAGTGGCCCTGCCAGTTCTCCTGGTACGGGTCCGCCTCGTTCACATACGTGCACCCGCTGTTGCTCGCGTCCCGCAGCGCCTTGTCAATCGTGTTGGTCAGGACGTTCTGCAGATCGGCCTTGTAGGCCAGCGGCACGCCCGGCGGCACAACCACTGTCGCGATGACGAAATCAGTCGCGTTACGCCACGCAGGGTGCGTCGCGCTGTTGGAGACGGGCTGGCCATAGCCCGGGTTGAACAGGTGTCCAATAATAAAGGCGAAGACGTCAGGGCGGTCGGGGACGGCCACGACCGTCTTGAAGGCGTCGATGATCTCGTCGTTGCGCTCGGCCACGTCGGCGTGGTCGAACATCCACCCGCCCGTGATGGCCGAGTTGCCCGACGCCTCGTCCTCGAACAGATCGACGTAGAGGTCGAAAAAGGTCGGGAACTCCTTGATGGAGAAGTCGTGCGGGATGTTGTGCGCCGCCAGCTCGGCGAGGAACGGCGCCAGCACGGCCTGCAGCTCGGCCGCGGTCTTGCCGATGCCGACGAAGGGGCGCGCGCGAAAGGTAAACGGCATGAGCTCAAAGTAGACGTACAGCCCGTTGTCGACAAAGTGGTTGGACCACTTGTGGAAGATCGAGGTCCCGTTCCAGAAGGTGTCGGAGTCGACCGTGTGCGTCGTGTTGATGTACAGCTCGGCGCCGGCGGACGGGAGGTCGGGGAAGGTCTTGACCGTCATCGAGATGATGACTGCGTACGAGGCCGGGCCGCCGCCCTTGAGGGCATAGAAGAGGTCGGTGTTCTCCTGGGCGTTTGCGTTGAGGTATGTGCCCGAGGCGGTCACAACCTCGAAGGCGAGGACGTTATCGGCCGCTGTTTCTGTGTTAGATATATGGTTCGGGAGGATAGAGAAATGAGGCGAGGATGGGAAAACGTACACATTCCCTTGAGCGGGGTCCACGGGCCGTGGCCGCCGCCCTGGATGAAACCGCCGGCAATACCGACAGTAGGGCACTCGCCGGTGACGATGACAACCGGGGGGTTGCGCGCGTGGCCCTGCTCGAGGATCGAGCGGCCCTGCACGCCGGCGCCGAGCTTGACGGCGCCACCCCTGTAGCCGCCCGGTCCGTTGTACTTGTTGATCCACTCGACTGACTGGAAGCTGTGCGTGTTGATGATCAGGGAACCCCAGCCCACGGAGCGGCCTGTAAGAGTGTCAGTGTGGAGCCCATAAACAAACAGCGTTGACCAAAAGATCCACCGGCAATCTTTTCGATATCGATTCAACGGCAAGCAGGAAAAAAAGCACTCACCAATGAAATCGTGGCCGGTATTCCGGACGATGAGGCGGATGTTGTTCTTGCGCGCAAAGTCGATGCCGGCCTTGACGTGCGCCTTGGTGGTTGCCTTGATCACGTACACGCCGTAGTAGCCGAGGGTGCACGGCTCGGTGGGGTCGGTGGTGGGAAGGCATGTGTCGTTCGTGGCGTAGGTCCAGAGGGCGGCGGCGGGCTGGGAGACACTGTTTTGGTCAGCTTTGTATCCTCAGAGCTAGGTGCTTTCTGTTTATTAGGGGTTACCTACGTCCAGCTCTCACTGGCAAAGTTGGCCAGAGCATCCTGGCACTTGGCCGCGTCGTACGTGTTGAACGTACCCAGGGGCCCCGTCATGGTGTTGTGGCAGTACGCGCCAGGCGGGATATGGACGCTCAGAGCACCGCCGACGGTCTGGTTGAGCTGGTTCCACTTGGGCTGTCCAGGCCAGCATTTCTGCCCCGGATAGCACTTGCACTCGTACTTTTTGCCGTTGATGGTCGCCGGCTCGAGCTTGGCCACGTCGGACCAGTCGAGGCCGCCAGGCCCGCCGGGTCCCTTGAGGGCCGAGAGCTCGGCGTCGGCCTCCTCGAGGCTGTCGACGATCTCGATGTCGTCGCGAGAGAGGACATATCCGAAAGCGGAGTGGACGAGCGCCGTGGCCGCGAGGGCCCGGGTCAGGGTCGCGGAGCCAAACATCTTCACCTCGGAACGAAGGATGCGAGGGTGGGTGGGATGAGAGGTGACCAGAAGGAAGCCAGGACAAGTCGGGCACCTATGGGCTTCTTATAGCGCGGCATTTTTGGGAGCGGCTGGGAGGTTGTCGACATGATGCTTTGCCAAGGTGAACACGCAATCTCGCGTTCTTGATGAAGACCGCTCCGGTGCTGGATATGCGGGCGCCCGGCCCCGCCGCTTGGGAGCTCGGTTGCGCCGCCGAGCTGCCCTACACAGGTCGGTGGGCCGGCGATGTTGCATCGGCGACAGGGGCCGTGGCCAGACGTTCATGGCATTGAATTGACCAGGATGTGTTGAATTCAACGATCGCCTGGTCTTTACAACATTCTTGGCATATAAAACACTTGAGAAAATACGAACCAACGGAAAGACTTGTTTGTTTGTAGATGTGAGATATGCATCCGGGATGGTGGGCTCAAATCTTTTCGACGCCTGCATCCCCAGTCCGAAGATTGAGTTCATCGATACATCTGTACATGCAGCCTAGGCGTGCCCACTATTCTATCCACGACGTAACCTCGCTGGGGGAATTGCCGGTGGGACCGCTAGGTACTGGCCCGCGAATCCTTCTCGTCTATGCCCACGTTGCCGGTGGGTTGGACGGGGACGCCAAGGGAAGATGAACAAAGATACCGGCCGGGGTCTTACGTACAAACCGGGTATACGCGAGGGTGGAAACATGACCATGGGGCTCGTTGCTACCGTAGTTTTTCTTGCACGAGTTCTGTGCCCGTCCAATGAGCGGTTGGCATTCTTTCCAGAATCCAGCGTCATGCCATGGCCCATGGGATCATATGTGATGGGGCAAGTCCTTTTTATAGCGTGCCAACGTAGGATCGACATCTTCTCGGCATAGGCACCCGTTGACAGGCTGCCATAGTTCTGGTGAAGCTTCTAGAGTACACACGACGAGGGCCATGACACCTATCTGGGCGGTCACGCCACCGGTACTTGGCCCGGCAAATTATCTTCCGATCTTGTTAATTGCAGGGGAATGCTAGAAAAAATTTCGAGAAGCTCATTTCATAGAAGTGGTTGCATACGGGGTCTCGGTGGACCATGGTGTTGTTCTCGGCGTGCGGATGCATTGGGGCACATCAGTGCAGGGAATGTCAAAAATGTCTGGCATGGCCATAGGACTGCCTAACGAGCAAGTAGTCATCTCCAATAGGCAGAATGGCCGAGTGGTCTAAGGCGCCACGTTTAGGACTTACCTAAGCATCCTCCGTGGTCTGAAAGGGCGTGGGTTCGAATCCCACTTCTGTCACAACAACTCTCTCTCGAGAGTCACGATCTTTTTGTTCTTTGGTCATTCAAATAACTCGGCCATGGCTGGGAAATGCCTGTGCGCGGTAGATAAATCGATACGTTTGCTCGGGAACCTCGTGGGTTGGTGTTTTTGCGTAAATTGCCTCCGTTGTCTGGTCGGAGATACTGTAATTCCAAGTGACCGGTATGGGGACATGCATAGCACCAAAACAATGTGCCGAAAGATTTTTCTACGTCTCAACCTAGGTTGCGATATCTTCCTGTGATCTCATTTCTCATGAGAGGCAGTTTATGGCTGGTGGTTCTCTCCTGAAAACTCTATCGCTCTCCTAATTCCAACTGACCAGCGATCCAGAGTTGAGACTCCTGCTGACCATCAGGCGCATCGCCGGTGATTCAAGAACAACAATATAGAATCTGCAAAGATTGTAAAGGGGAAAGGGGGGATTCGACGCTCATGACTTTCCTGGTGCACTCGGGATGTGAAGAACGGCCCGTGGTGCGATCAAATCCATGTATAGAAGCCGGCTGCAGCGGTTGCGATGTGTGCCGTCATTTTGAGTAATGCGCTCTATGTCTTTCGGCCGAGAACTGCCAGGCAAAAAATGGACCTTCTTTCCGAGCATGGTCTATACACGAGAATACTCCGCATGGATAGCCATCAAACAAGTGAAAGAGGCAAACAGATGATAAACTCAAGGATGCTGAAACGGGAGTTGTAGGAACCTTTGGCGGGATATGCCGTTGAAAGTCAACTGTCTTCGTCACAGCCACTTTCACAGGGTCCTGTCTGCGCCTCCCAGACTCGGCTTCGCCTATAACTTAAAGCCCCCACACTGACGTCGATCTATGGAGATTTCTGTGAAACAAACCGAAGAGACCCCGCTAGATTGTGGCTAAGCGCTCTTCACGCGCATCGGTGTTGCCACGATCGCCGCTGGTCTGTCGGCCAGACGCATCCATGTGGGTCAGGCGTGGGACCGGACTGTCGGCCGCCGACTCATCGGACCACAAGGGTCCTCACCCGTGAGGCGATGACGCCCCACGCATCTGGCAAAGGCGGCAAGTGTGTTGGCAGGAGGTGGCAGGTGCGCTTGGCGACGAGGAAGATAAATATTGTTAATTCGACGTTTCTCGTTCTTCCCGCATCAAACTCCCGAATCACCTCGATTTACGACCTCCTAACTTTACACCAATATTATCTTAGCTTTGCATCAATTTACCTACTTTCACCGACACCACAAAGCAAGCACCATGTTCCCCGGCAACAACACACCCTACGGCCAGGGCCGTGGCGAGGCCGCCTCGTACTACAACGACGACCGCTGGCAGCAGCAAGAGTATGCTGCACAAACTACCGGTAGCCCGGGCTACGGCCGCGGCCAACCGCCATTTTCCCAGCAGAATCAACAGTTCGGCTACCAGCCGGGACTCGAGCAGGAAGGTGAGCGCGGCGTCCTCGGTGCCGTCGGCGGTGGTCTGGCTGGCGGCGTGGGCGGACACGCGCTGGGCGGTAAAACTGGCCATAGCAAGCTAGGCAGTACGTTTCTCCTTCGTTCCCCTGCCTCCCCCCCATCCAGCCCCTTGCTAAAACGGCCTCAGCCGTCCTCGGTGTTGTAGGCGGCGCCTTAGCAGGGCACAAACTCCAGGACGGCATCTCGGATTGGAAAGACAAGCGCGATGAGAACAGGCCCCAATCGAGCGACGACAAACACAAGCCCTTGGGGCTGGGCGCGCACGGCGTCAGCTACGCCGGCAATTTCAGCGGCTCGTCGCGCGACATCCGGCTCGACTGCTCGGGGAGCGCATATACCCTGCACGCGTCGTGCAAGCGCATGGACAAGTCGTACCAGGCGAGCAGCATCGATCTGAACCGGGTTCTCGAGAACGATCGCGGCAGTTTCCGGTGGGTCGACAATACAGTCAGAAAGAATGAGGGTCACGACCGCCCACGACAGGTCACAGTGCAGCAGGGCGACACCCTTCGAGCGATTGCCTCGCGAGTGGGTAGTTCGTGGGAGGAGATGGCGCGGTTCAATGGGATTGCGAATCCTGACCTGATTTATCCCGGGCAGCAGCTGGCCGTGCCGGGTGATGCTGGACATGGACATGGACATGAGGGGCCGAAGATGGGCAACTTTGGCATGTCGGCGCGGAACGTGAGGCTCGTGGATGGAGGACGACGGTTGGAGGCCGAGTTGTTGAGTACGGATGGGCAGTGGCGCGGAAGCTCGATTGTGTTGGATGAGAGGATAGGGAACGAGAACGGGACGCTGACTTATGTCTGCTAGGTGTCTATCATTCGTGATGGCGACGTTTTGCGGGCCGAGGTGGTGTTGATTACGGGGTGACTCAGGGCGTGATGGGACAGGATGGTGTTGGTTGCCTCGCCATAGCCTCCACAAGTCGAAGTCAACATCAACAGGGGGGGTCGTCGCGTTTGGTGGTTTGTTCACATGGGTGTTGGTTGTTTGGCTTCCAACATTTTCGGCGTCGGATGCATGAAGATCAGAGATAGCAGGGTAGCTTCAGACAGTTTTGCACCTAAGTTCAACGAGTTCCATGAAGAGAAAGATTGCTGGCTGGGTGGATGTCGCGTCGTCGAGAGACACGTGAGGACTCCGAACAAGCTTCCCCGCGTTTGCTACCCCTGTCAAGGCCACGCCAACCACGCATCACGACCGCACAGCCTCAGTAGGACTTTTGTGATTGCAGTATAAAGTCAGCCAGCAACCCTTACGATATCCCGTCCCAATCTCATTCGGCATCCATTCTCGTCGGTCATCATGGACAATCTCCACCACCACTTCGGCAGCCGTCCGGTCTGGGAAACCTGGACAGTCGACAAGGCGCCCACCTTTCAGACCCTCGAGCTCTGGTGTGACGACGAGGGGGAGACAACCAAGGTGGAAACCCGATCAGTTCCATCACTGTCGGTGGACAACTGGTTGCACGAACCGTCAGAGAAATACATCTCGACAACCGACCACACGCGTATGCTCCGGCTGGTCTGGATTGGACTCGACTCCGAGACATGTCGACACAGTCCCTCAACCCGCGAGTTACAGCGCATCCTGGAGACGTGGGACCTCGAGCGTGGCTACGACTACGCTCGCAGCTCCTTCGCTGGCGTGTCCGCGCTGCCCCCTTCGCCCTCCCACCCAACGAAGCAAGTCTTCACCGCGACATACCACCCCAAACTAGCCATGGCCTGGTCGCACGACACCGAAACCTCACAAACCAACATGGTCATTTTTGCCGAGGGCGAGGAACGCACCGAGTTCGCCCGCACACTGCGGTCACGCTGGAGCCGCGCGCTGGTCAGCCACGCTATGTTCCCCGCGCTGGTCTGCAGCCTGGTGCTGGCGCGCGAGCTGGACGGCACGCTCGACGAGATCAAGACGGTAGTGCGCAACGTCGAGGCGCGCACCGGTCACCATCGCTTCTCGACGCGGCGGCAGACGCGTCCGGCTGCCGGCGAGCTCGGGTCGTTGTCGGCCGAGATGAGTGGGTGCAGCGCCAAGCTGGCGAACGGATCGCGGAAGCTGCAGGTGGTTGAGGCGTTGAATGCGTTTATGCGCGAGCATCTCGGGGAGGAGGAGGATATTCCACATCCAGCTGTCGAGACACGACCGAAGACCGCGGATTCGTATGGCGAGCATTCGTTTCTCAAGGAAATTGACGAGAAGCCAAGACCGACAACGACAACGACAGAGTCGGGACCGGCAATCCTCACACACTACCTCGGCATTCTTGGTCATCGCGCCGCCATGCAGCAGGTCGACACGACCTACGTCCAGCAGCGCGTGCAGGTCCAGATCGCCGCGCTGTTTCACCTCATCGCGCAGCAGGACAACGCCATCGCGTTCGAGACGGCGTCGGCCACGCGCAGCATCGCCAAGGATAGTCTGCAGGACTCGTCGTCGATGAAGATGCTGGCGCTCGTCGCCATGTTTTTCCTGCCGGCGAGTTTTGTCGCCGCGCTGTTCTCGGCGCCGCTGTTTGATTGGGACGGGGTCGGGGCCAAGGGCGGCAGCATCGGGGTCGCGACTAAGCCGCAGTTTGCGCTGTTTTGGGCGGTTGCTGTGCCTTTGACGGTTGCTACGTTTTTGATGTATGCTGCTTGGATTGTTGCGCAGAAGAGGAGGATGAGGAGGAGGTTGAGGGTTGGTGATGTTTGAACGGGATTTGTTGGTTCATTTGTCCGATGGAAGACGTTGATGTGCGCGGAGAGGGTATTTCCTCGTCCCCACGCATATGAGCTCCACGTTCTATGCAGCGAATGTAAAGGAGATAAAATCAAGTTTCTCATATCGTGCTAAAGTGTCTGCTCTGTGTGAAGCTCACATGGTGGGGGGGGGTGCCTGAAGCCAGATCTGGAGTTCCACTCGTGGTTCATTAGGTGCCATGTTGGATTACCTCCACACAGCAGGGCGTAGACCCTAGGAAGTTTCGAAAATGAGATTTATCGCCAGCAGAAGCTGTCTGAGCTGCGCTCCTTTGACTCTTCGAGTCCCGAGATCGGATGAAGGTTATCAGGACCCACTTGACGAATGTGGCAAGCACGTTGTGCGCTGGACCTCGTCGATTCGCCCGTCAGCCAGCTGCAGCCTGATCCATCTCGTTATCGCGCCACCACGCCAATTCTCACTATCGTCAGCTCTCACCGCCTCGGCCCGTCCCGGCCGTTTCTTACTTTGACAAAGAAGCAGAGGCTAGTGTTGTCGCTAAGGTAGTTATCGGCAAGTGGCCAGGGTTGCCTCGAGCTGAAAATTTTCAGGACCCACCCACAACCGATTTTGTTCACTAGGTAGGTAAGTATTTATTCCGCTCTTCACAATGGAGTTATCCTTCTTCTTCAACCTTCGCCCCGCTATTCCTTCCTTTGGCTCTTTTTCTTGATCCTGTCGCGACCAATGCGGCCAGCGGCGGGGCGGCCGCTGCCTCCCACAAGCAGCTTGCCGTCGCTGCGCCGACTCGATGAGTTGACCGAGTCCC